GGCGTCTTTTTGGGCCATATGAATATAAACATGTTGGAGGGTGTTCCAGGGTGGTTGTGCTCCTGGCCACTGAAGACGTAGAGCCACCACAGCACCAATCGTGTTGTGTGAGAGAGAGATATGGTGGTGAAACCCGACATACGCTTTGGGAAAAAAATATCATTGCGGTGTTGCGTCTAGGTGAAAATTGAAAGCCGAACACTTGTGTCCGCTATTCGTATACACCAGCTGTGGAATTTAAATGCCTCGTCCCGTAATCCCGGTAGCGCAGTCTAATAGTTGGCTCAGTTTGAGAAAGGGTAGAGTTTCAACGCGCCTGTGTTTTAGTTTCTGACTATAGAATTAATGGCGGTGGAAATGTGTCGCGGTTTTGTGTGTGTTTGTGCGAGCGAGCGAGTCGGCTCCCACGGAGGAGCCCTCTATGGAGGAGGTTCGTGAAGGACGCCGCTACTGGGCAATTGGGACGGCAGTCGCCCTCCAACAACAGCGGAGCGAAAGAGGAGCGGCACTCACAACAGCGAGCGGAGCGATACAACGGAGGAAGTTGGCGTCGTTCTGAGCACGGCTGGCTCATCTGACAATCTTCCCATTGAGTCAACCCATAACAACCCGGTTTTGTCCCGTGACCTCTGTCAGGGAGCCTTCTCGACACTTCACGTGACCTCGACGCGAACCTAGCCTGGCACAAGCGCCGTGGTTGCCGTCGCCGCCTTGTTGACAAACGGCGCTTGTTGAGAGTCGTCTCGCGGTGACCCCGCGCATCGATAAACGGTGCGCTCACACGGGCACATGTCACGCTACAAAGCCCCCACACTCCATGACGGCTACGTCCTCTTTTAGAGAAGCCATACGCGGGGCCCCTTTCTCAATCCACTGCTGAACGAGGACCCCCGCCCCCTCTCTCCGACAGGCGAGTCGCGCAATACTCCCCCGCAAATGTAAAGGCGACGCGTCGCGAGGCGAAGGTGAAAGGGTGACAGGGAATGCACTTTACGCGGCGATGTGCTTTAAATCGCGAGCATAAATAACGCTGTCGCATTACGACGTTGCCATTGCTCACGCTTCATGTCGCTCACGTCAACTGCATATCAGCAAACTCCTGCCAATAATATCCCCGCAGGATACCTGTACGCATTGACCGGACGCTCTCGACCAAGTACGCATTGTGTGCATGTAGCGGGAGCATTCGTTTTGAACTTCCACACAACACACACGCACAGAGCTATGGACTGCTGTGAAGTTGCGACCGCTAACTTTACGCCGCATTAATTGAGATAGGGGTGTGTGTGTGTGTGTAAGTAAGCGTGCGTGTGTCATAGGTGCTCGCTAACAGCACTTGCCCCAACAGTCTGTTAAGGCTGTGCAGGGGATCTTTGTAAAATTACGAGTCAGTCAATATATGAATCATCATGATCATCAATTAAACAATCCGATGCTGGAGGATTAAGATCTCCAAGCAGTCGCTATCTCACAAGACTGTGCGATATGACAATCCACCAAGAAGAACAACCAACAGGCGGAGATGATTTTTGTTTTCCACTACATCCATGTTTTTTAGTTTTAATAACCAAAACATTGGTTCATAATCACTGCATAGAAAACAATAGTCTATAAAGGGTCATATTTGAAGTAGTTTTATTATTTGCCTATATATAGTAATGATTTACAATAACTATCGTGGGCTTGCTACCTTGGTGGTGAGGGTGGGGAGCCATGCCCTCGATTTATGACAACAGCAAGAGAACTATGAACGGCCTCCACGTGTGTTTGGCTTGGTTCAAAATTGTTAAAATCGTTGCGATTCGAGCGCGTCTTCCAGCAATGGCTCATCTCAATGGCGAGCTGTTCACGGACACGTGATATCTCAAAGCGCATGGAAATGTAGCTGTGCTCGCATACCGAGAGACACACACACACTTGTGCTTTCCAACAGTCCCAAATTAAAGACACGTACGTATGTACATCACCCCAAAAATACGCTGTCATGTCGCCCGTACAAAGCAGCGTATTTATTGTCACATCGCCAAACGGTCCAAACGCTGTTCCGGGAACTCCAGTATTATAGACATCCACAGCTATTTCACCTTGTGTTGACCTCCCGATATTATTTGCAATGTACCCCACATTTTGACAATCATAAACGTGATAATGGGATTATAGGGCACATGAGATCGAAGGTCACCTTCGGACCCACTAACATCAATGAATATATCCGAGGTACCAATGGATCTTAGTGGTAGTGCCTCACGCCGCTAAACCCTATTCCAAGCCAGCCTAATGTATGTACGTGTGTATGTTGATATTCTTTCGCACCGTACGTAGCGAACCGTGTTGATCGGAGCCCGAGAAGCAGCGTTGCGTAAAAAATATCGAGTGAGAAATCAAGCCGTGCGGTGCAAGCGTACATTTCATTGAGAACCAAACGCACGGAGCTCGCCGTTCGCTAGCTCAACGTCCTTTGGTCAAGGTTGAAAGTAAAGCGCGTGTCTGACCGAGTTCATCATCACACACATACACACACACTTCGGTACGACGCTTCATTTGTCCCCAGTAACCCGCACACGCTCGGCGAGCATTCCTGGGATGGCATTCGTGGCATCCCAGAACTATTGGCTCGACAGAATAGACTTAACGGAGTTCGCCTCCTACCCTTAATTGGATGGCATTAAGTAATGTCACGTGACGGCAAACGGCAAATGAGGGAATCATCCTTCAAGTGATGCACAATACGGTCCCAAAATGTTGCCAAGTTTCAGCCATCTGTCGTGATTTTCCGTGCCAGGATTAAAGAGCGCGTGGCTATAAATGCCCTCCACCGAGGTTCTATAAAGCGGCGGAACCGCACTGCCGCTCGTTGGAATGAACGCGACCCACAGACACACACGCACACATACCTTGTGCAAACAGATTTGTCCAACGGCATTAAATGAAATGTCCCCTGTATTACCATGCCCCCCCCCCCACGCCATCCATCAAATACATGCTCGCACGAACGCACAAGAAATACAATCAGAATTCACGCCATCCTCTTAAAAGTGTTTTTTTTTAAACAGCCAAAATCAATGAATAAATAAAGCTCAATATATTCTCAATGCGCGTAGTTCGGATGTCCTTGTCCATGGTGCTGAATTACGATTAAGATTATACTCATCGTCAGAATCTGCTTGTCAATCGCACAGAACAGCATCAGACTTACAAAAGCGTGGGGTTGTTTTTCTTCTTGAGAGCATATGGGGAACATTGCAACTGTGCGAGCATCCGCCAGAGGCGCTACTGTTGCACGCAAGTGATGGTGGTGGTGGTGGTACAACAACAGCTTTGCAAGAAGCGAGCCTCGCAGACGACACGTGTTTTATTTATTTATTCGTTATATACTTTCGAAACACCGTTGTACATCAAGACTAGGTCACACGCGTATATTAGTGCAGTGGAGTACTCGGAGAGCAAGTACTCAAGCTAGTACGGGGAGGGTTGTCCACGTATTGCGAATTCAGTTTTGCTCAACTTTGGCCATGAGAAGCGCACGCGTGGTCCGCAAAGTCAAATTGCGATGCATCGCCGATTGAACAAAAGCATTCCTGTGTGTGGCTGTGCTTTGTGTGTGTGTAGTCGTGCGTTGGCCTAACATCAGTGACGCATATCCGAACCGGTCCTAGGCACCGCCGTAGGTCGACTCAGCATAAAAAATGAGTACTGTACCTTGTGCGGTGTGGAATAAACATCGCCGTGAAGGAGGCAAAGGCGGTCGGCCGTGGTGTTGCCCCCCCCCCCCTCCACCTCGTGTGCCGTGCCGGTCTTCATAGGTGCCCACTAACAGCACTTACCCTAAAAGCCTAAGACTATACGGGGGATCTTTGTCTTTGTAGTCGTGCGTAGGGAGCCGGTGGCTTAAGCGGATAGCGGCACTGCGCTACTGACCCGGCCACCTCTGAGTTCGATTCCCGGCCACGGCTAACATGAGTGGCACGTGATATCGGAACCGGTCCTAAGCCGAGGTTGACTCGGCCATCAGTGAGCTAGTGCGGTGCATAAACAACAGCGCCACACTGGGCAAATGCCACACCGCCCCACGTGCAGGACTTCATATGTGCTTGCCAACATGTACGTACGCCGAACTTCTTTCGCACCGTACGTATCCAACCGGCGGTGCGGGGGTAGGACAACAAACGAAACGCAACGTCACTCTTCATCGGTAGCTCGGCGCAGCCTACGCGGGCGCTGGGAGGTCTAAATCGCCGGTGCTGCTACTTGTCACCGTGCGGCAACTTACCTTTGGTCGTGCAATGTACTCGATTGCGACGGTTACCTTAAACCTCTGTGGCAACCGAGAGTGTAAGACGTTACACGAAACAGCGTTAAAACCAAATGTAAATAAATGTTGACGTATCTCTCGTGGGAACGGGGAAGCCATACGTGTAACTGAATATACAACCTGTCCCACCACTTTTTCTTTATAACGTTCCACGCCAGCCAGCTGTGGTGTGCTGATTGTTGCTGGTCGGTGGACATCGGCAGGCGGAGGGGGTGGATGCGGGGGGGGGAGACACGTACCCATCGTTTTCGAATTGAGAATTAATTCGTGACAGTCCCAATTCCACTTCGCCACGTGGAGGCCACACGTGGGTGTCACCCGACGACCAACAGCCAGTGGCGTAGTTATCGAGTGTGCAGGCGGTGCAACTGCACCTGTAACGGGGCCCAAGGGCCGGATGGGGGGGTCCAGGGGGAGGGAAGGGGGGAGGCTCCCATTTAATCCCCTGTACCTCCACCCAGTGCCGGATTAAGCTAGTGCGGGGCCTGTAGCATGATGTTATAAAGGGGCCCTAAATAAAAAAAAACACACACATGTTAAAACACAAACTTTTAACTTGCATAGTAAAGTAATTGTATGATAATACGACAAATCGCTAACCTTAAACACCCAGTCGTTCATAAAAGTTGAAGGCGGTATAGTACTATAGTAATAGAGCAAGTGCAGAATCACTGAACCGGAATTGATAGCTTGAAAGCATTTAGTGCGGGGCCTTTGAAAGTGCGGGGCCCGTAGCTCCTACATATGTAGCTACTACACGTGTAGCTACCAGGCTAATCCGGCACCCCCCCCCCTACCACTATGGCAAAGACGCTGTGCCACTGCTGACGAAGATAAACACGCTAGATCCCGCGCAATTCCATTCCCTTTCAAATGCCGTCCGTGTCATTCTTGATGTGTCTTAATTACGCGTATATATTAAACAAAATAATTGTGATACTGGGTGGGCCGCGGTGGTTTGTGGTTGTGCATAAAGCACAAATTACAAAACTCAACATATTTGTCAGTGATACTGGCCCGTTTTATGTCTTTATCCGTTCACGGTGGTATTATTGACGAATGTGTTGTTTTTGTTAATTATACCGAAAATAACAAGGGGCGTGGAGGCGGTGAGGACGACGTGGTGGTGTTACTCCAGATTATTGCGATGGCCATGATAGTGTGTGCAATGTGTGCTTCTGTCATTCAACGTGCACGAGATATCGGCGGTGACTTGGTAATGACCTCCTGTGGCCAATTCGCATCATAATGATCAATCGCTTAATTCTTTACGCAATTGACTGATCACGCTTAATTGACCTCAAGTGCGTGGGGCGAATACGTGTCCTTTAAAATCGCCATTTAATGTACCCCCACGATCGTTTAGGTTTCATTTTAAATTGAGCGCACGTCCATTGCCACGTGACCGCCGCATTTCAATCTCCACGTCGCGCGTTTACAATTGGCAACGACTCTGCCTTTGAAAAGAACAATAACAACAATAACAACAACAAAAAGTGCTTCAACATCTGTACCTCTATAAACAACCTTTGACGTTTTTTTGTTTGTTTTAATCTCTCTACCGTGTCATGTGAACGTTTCCGTCCATATCGCTGTCTCTCTCGAGCGCGTGTCGCTTGCAGGGTACGAAATTGTAACGGCGTGACCTTTCCACGGGCCTTATCATACAAACCCGCGATATACGAGGGGAGGTCAAAACATTTCGAGAACCGAATCTCATCGACGTACGCCAACACAGTTTACGGCACCACGCTCAGAAGCATCACCCGACGGACGCGATAAGCTCCGAAGCTGAAGACGCGAGCAAGATTTCTGCTCGTGGCTCACCATCCATGAGGAGTCATCTAAGTCGATTCGACCTCCTCCCTCCACACCTTCACCAACCCGCACTGACCAGCGTGGTGAAGTATGGTTAAAAAAAACCGCTACCTACCGACACGGCGCAGAGAGGACCCTCATCTAGCTTTTGATTGACCAAAGGGCTGTGAATTATTATTGTTATTATTACTAATTACGGTTCGGAGTTATTAAAATAGACTTATGAAATACACCTCACGCATTGTTTAAGTGGCAACTTAGGCCATCAGCGACGCGGTTGGATGGGCACAAAAGCCATACCCCGCCTCTAGGAGGAGGAACCTTAAGCGGACCGCATTTGCCGACTTGACATTTCGGCACGGATGTGCGTGCGTGTGTTCTGAACTTCTTTCGCGCCGTACGTGACCAAGCGTGCTACTCGGCAGAAAAGTCGACATAACTGGTGATCGACTTTTCGCCGAGACGGCTATGGGATCTCCTGCTCGCGCGACAGGGCCCAGTGTCTCGTCGGCGGAACGTTTTGACCCCCGTCTCGTATATATATACACACACACCTCTCTAAAGACGCAACATGCGCGCTCTATATACCGTATATACACTGTTTCATATATACGTTTATACCATATACAATATATACATGATATCTGCTTAGCCTGGCCCAATCGCAAGAGTTTTGCAAAAGCCAGTCATCGCGACAGAACACGGTCCGCATTTTCAACGTTTCAGAAATTATCCGTACAGATACAAATCACGGTGTTACACGCCGCACGCGCCCGATGATTGCCAAACGCGTAACATAACTTGACGCTGGAAGGGCCGATTCAAATTTCGGGTGCGTCGCGTGGGGCACACCAGATCTGCACTTGAGTTCCACACGTACACAGACGTAGCTTAAGTTCAGTCGGAGCTGTCCGGGGTTGATCTACTAAAAATACCCCCCCCACACACACCCGCGCGCTGTAGAGGGGGAGGGGGGTGGTGGGAGTGCCGTGGGGGGAGATCCGGAACCCTGGGGGTGCTCCGAGAATGTTTCATGAAACATCAAGCCCCGCGTCGCACACACGATCTCTACGATTTCATCGGCGCTTAAATCACACGTGACCTGCACGGACGATGACGAGGACAGACACCGCCCCGTGTCGCCTGTAACAGACTCTCGGGAGCAAGCGCTGTTTGCGAGCACCTATCAAGGCCGGCACGGCACACGGGAGGGTGTGTGGCCAACGCCACGTCCGTGCCACCTTTGTCTTCCAGACGTAACCCGCACACGCGCGCGCACACACACACCACGAATAACTATGAATTACACTCAGCGCTCTCTTCGTCACGCGAGACTTGTTTTGCAATCACGAGGCGCGTGCAGCGTGCAACGGAGACGATTTGGTAACAACAACAACGTTGAAAATCGCACGTCCTTGATGGGGGTGGGGTGGTGGTGGTGGGTGGGGGGGGTGAGTAGGGTTCAGTTAACCCCAGTCGTAGGAGAAACAAAGCCAGCGAAAGCCGGGGGCCCTTTAATTGTGGGAGGTCATGTGTCTGGAGAGGTGGTGACGCTCCCGGAACGTCTCGTTGCAGATGGGGCACTTGAGCTTATCCTCGCGGCGCCGCTTCAGCACGGGCTCCTCTGCGTACTCCTTCTTGTGGTGCGAGCGCATGTGGTACACCAGGTCGGAGGTCATCCGAAACGACGTGTTGCACTTGGCGCACCAGTTCTGCGCGGGCAGCCCCAACGGCGTGAGCGTCGGGGGCAGCAGGGGCAGCGCTCCGGGCAGCTGCACTGGGATCGCGGTCGCCTTGGGCCAGAAGGCGGGTGCTAGCAGGAACGGGGTTTGCTGCTGCTGCTGCTGATGGTGCTGATGGTGGTGATGATGATGGTGCGGCGGTTGGTGCTGCTGCTGCTGCTGCTGGTGATGCTTGTACGCGTTCTGCAAGCCGCCGGCTCCTCCTCCTCCTCCTCCGTTGATCTCCAGACCGTGCTGCTTCGAGCCCTGCATGGAGGGAGGCAGCATGGAGGCGGAGAGCTGCGCGAACGGCCGCACGGGTTGCGAGAAGGCGCTCTTGCGCTCGGCGCCGCCGAGCGGCGACTTGAGCAGCGACGTGAAGGCGGCCGCGGCGTTGATGGCCACCTCGGCGCGCGTCTCGGACAGAGCCTTAGCACCGCCGCACAGCTCCGCGGAGGCGCTCCGGCTCCTGAGCGCCGCGGCAAACGCCTCGCACGCCTCGTCCTCGGCGCGCTCCTTGCCCGCCTTGCGCACCACCTCTGTGAACGCGCTGCGCTTCGAGCCGTGCTGCAGCACGTCCGTCGCGTAGCACGCCCTCCTCGGCGCCTCCCGGACCTCGTCGAGGTCATCCGAGGAGCGCTCGCGGCCGTCCTTCACCACTCGCTCGTCGCGGCTACCCCCGTCGCCCCCGCCGCCGGTGGTGGTGGTGGCGGCGGCGTCGCGGTGCTCGTCGAGAGCGCCCACGACGGGCGCCGACGCGGGTTTGGTCACGAGCGCAGAGTCGCCCTTGCTCGCACCCGCTAACGGGGAGTCGCCCGAGGCGGGCAGCAGTTTAGCGCTCACCCGCGCCCTCTTGGCTGGGGGCCTCTCGTCCGCGTCACTCGACGGCCGCCGCGCCTTCTCCATGTCGTGCGCCAGGCTGTGGAAGTTGGTGACGCGCTTTCCGCTCTCGAGGAGGAGGCCGGCAGCCGCCGCTGTAGCCGCGGCGGCCGCCCGCTTGCCCTCGAGCAGGTGCTGGTGAAGTAGGGCCGCCGGGGACAGCACGGCGGCACCGCCACCCCCGTGGTGGTGGTGGTGCTGTGCGGGGCCGCCCCCCGGGAAGGCGAGGATGCGCAGGTTCTCGTGCAGGATCGAGAAGTCGCGCCGCTTCTGGCACAGGAAGCGCAGATGCGCCGCGTAGGGGAACTCGAAGTGGAACGCCTGCTGGCACTCGCCACATCGCAGCAGCGGGGACGACGGGGAGCCTCCTGCAAACGGCGAGCGCGCGCGCACGCGCGTGCTCGTCAATGGGGGTGTCGCGACCGCGCGCGTGCTCGTCAATGGGGGTGTCGCGACCGCGCGCGTGCTCGTCAATGGGAGTGTCGCGACCGCGCGCGCACACGCGCGTGCTCGTCAATGGGAGTGTCACGACCGCGCGCGCGTGCTCGTCAATGGGAGTGTCGCGACCGCGCACGTGCTCGTCAATGAGAGTGTCGCGACCGCGCGCGCGCGTGCTCGTCAATGGGAGTGTAGCGACCGCGCACGCGCGTGCTCGTCAATGGGGGTGTCGCGACCGCGCACGCGCGTGCTCGTCAATGGGAGTGTCGCGACCGCGCGCGCGCTCGTCATTGGGAGTGTCGCGACCGCACGCGTGCTCATCAATGGGGGTGTCGCGACCGCGCGCGCGTGCTCGTCAATGCGAGTGTCGCGACGAGCGTGCTCCTCAATGGGAGTGTCGCGACGCGCGTGCTCGTCAATGGGAGTGTCGCGACCGCGCGCTTGTCAATGAGAGTGTCGCGACCGCGCGCGCTTGCTCGTCAATGAGAGTGTCGCGACGCGCGCGCGTGCTCGTCAATGAGAATGTCGCGACCGCGCGCGCGTGCTCGTCAATGGGAGCGTCGCGACAGCGCGCGGGGTCCGTGTGTGTGTGTAGGCGGTCACGCGTGAGGTGGACCGGTCCGTGCCGTGGTTCAGCGCGCTGCGCTCACAACCCCGGCGGACCCGATTTAGATTCACGCTCACAGCCAAAAATGAATGCTCACGATTATTACCGGGACCCGGTCTTGGCCCTCCCCTGGATCGACTCGGCCCCAAACGAGTCGCGACCCCGCTGCGCTGTGTCAACACCGTCACTGGAGGAACCGCCCCACGCCCACCTATACTTCGCCGGCCTTCGTAGGAGCTCCCTAACAGCACTCGCCTAGCTATAGCGGGGGGGGGGGGGGGTGCAGGGGAGGAGATGGGTGGAGTTCCTTCTTAAGTGGAACTGTGGAAGTCACAGCTGACGCAGTTGCGGGTCAACTCAGTCAACCCTTGACACCCGGAGGCCGTCCGGTGACCTCCCCGTCGCGCAGCGAGCCTTCGACACTTCACCGTGGCTTCAATGCGCACCTAGCCTGGCACTAGTGCTGCGGTGACGCCACCGCCAGCCAATTCAGAATTGTTTTAAATTACATTTTTGCCCATCGGAATCGTAATTTGTACTATAGCACAGATCTCCAGTAGGGGCAGGTCAGAAAGTTACCGGTGAATATCCGGATGTTGGTGGTTTAGCGTAGTGCTGGCCTTACTAGGTGCTCGCTAACAGCGCTTGCCCTGTCAGTCTGCAAAAGTTCACACAGGGTATCTTTGTCTTGGCGGTGTCTGTGGAACGCGCGTGTTGTTTTGTGTCTATGTCGTAGTGTATGTTCATTTGTCCGCAGATAGTTTACGGATACATTAATTTAATGTCTGTGTGTATTCACAGTATGTATGTGATGTTTGCGCGCATGTGTTATTGCACGTATGTGTCATGTAATGTGTGTTTTATGTTTGCATGCGTGTGTTGTTTGTCGTGTATATAATGGGCGTTTGTCTTGCGTTTTACGTATGTATGTGATGTTTGGATGCATATGTGCATGTTTGTCATGCCAGTATGTAATACATTTAATTACTACTTTTGGCACATTAGTATGCATGTATACATCTTAATTATCATAAACTCACCCCCTCGTGTAGAGACGTGTCCAAATCAAAACTTTAAACGTATGGAATCACTTTGTTCGTCAGAAGTTCATCACTAAAGTTAAGTATTCCCCCTTTGAATATGATAAATAAAGAGACGCCATATACGTATGTATGTTGAACTTTTTTCGCACCGTACGTAGCCAACCGTGCTAATCGGAGAGTACGGAGGAAGGACAACAAAACCTAAACACAACAAGCAGATCTAAAGAAATTAGTTTTCAATCTAGATGATTTAAAAGTGCATCGCTCCAGTGGCCTCCGCATATCGGAATGAAGAACGTTCCAGACGGCCGCCGAAGCGCATCTGAAAGCGCCGCGTGATGCTCGCAGATTGCGTGGCTGCTGTGTTCAGACGGGATATTTTTTTGGGGACAGGTATTTTTCAGTCGTCAAATAATATTCTTATTATGATGGTGTTCCTGGATCCCACATAGACGTTATGCGTGAGTTTGGGCTGCATTGCTTTGTTCTTTGAGTTACTGAGAATGGTATGCGTATGTGTGAAACCGACCGTAGAGCTGTATGGTCCGCGTGAATTGTGGCGCACACTTAATTAAGTTGTCACCGAGAAGCGTTTAACCGTGGATGGTGCGTATGTATGGTGAACTTCTTTCGCACCGTACGTAGCCAACCGTGCTAGTCGAGATGCGTGGCGAAGCGTGTCTATATATAGCGCAACATACAGACACATCTAAGTGCACCCATGCCTGCTATTACTCTATACACATATGTTTTAATTACTCTTGCAGCCATCAATTCTCAAACGTTGCGTCGGCATTATTAACTTTACTAGCCACTGCCTGCAAATTGATTTCCCCGTACATATTGATATGAGACGCACAGCAGGTAGAGGAATGCACACGCACACGAGGCATATCGCATTAGTTAACTCCTCTTCATAGTGGCTTCCTGCAAATTAATTTTCCCGCATCCCCATGAATAGTCTACTGATGAGAACGGGAATTTTCGCACAAGCCAAACCCTCGTATAAGAATGTCTCTCAGACAATGATGTAATCTCACTGCGTAACTTTTTTTTTGACCGGGCCAAAGAGTCTCTTGTCATTGAGTCCATCATACCACGTAAGAGAGACGGCATCTCGAAGGACAGTTGCATCCGTTGATCCTTTTAAAGTATTGTTTATGAGAAATATGTCGAGGGATCTTTATTTTCTGTCTGTATGATGGCAGACAGCGCATTCCGAAAACAGCGTTGCAATTTAATAATAGGGTTTTTCCCCTTTTTTCTGGCAACAAAACTGAAACCTTTTTACGAGGATTCATGTCTGCATTAGCCACAATGTCTGCAGTCAAAATGCAAACAAAAAACATACTATGATAATATATGCATTTTCCTTGAAACTGAAATTGTTACCGGGAACAGAACATTTTTACGGTTACTATTGAAAAGCTCCAGAGATATGTGTACTGCATACGCTTGATGTACACACACACACATTTAAAAACACAATCGCCGTATAGCGATGCAGATTGTGTTCGGCAAGCGCTGTTAGCGAGGATCTATGTCTAGGCTGAAAGAGGTGATGAGTGAGTCGACCTCAGGGCAGGTTCATGAGCGGTTCAACTATGGCTCGTCGCCAATAATAGCGTGACCTGGAATCTAGAATCAGAATCTTTAGATATACTGGATGAATCCGATCAGCGATGAAGCTATTTTTTCACTGATATCCAGTAGACATCTATGAAAATCCAACTCAGACTTCCGAGTTTGTTGCGTAGTGTGCAAACCACTGCGCCACCACTCCACCCATGTATATTTAAAAGAAAAACACAAACACGGTGTTGGCAAGTTATGCTAACGAGCACCTACGAAGGCCGGCACACACGAGAGAGAGGGTGTTGTAGGTGGCCAGCACCACGCCCGGACGCATCTGTCTTCCTCGTGGCGATGCTTACACCTGAGTGGACCTAGAGGAAGCCCGGGACCGTTTCGAACATTCGCCACCGCCGCCGGTCGTGAGCAGAAATCGGATTCGTAGCACGCGCGGGGAGCGCCGACCACTGCACCACCGCTCCCCCGCCAGGTAAAACGCGCGCACGCACGAGCAAGCGAACCAAAGCGCAAACATTTGTGCCACCCCCCCTCTCCCCACCGTTGGCGGCCTTGTGCGGCACCGTGTCGTCGAGACGCAGCAGGGCGGCCAGCTCCCTGCCGTACCACACCAGCAGCTCCTCGTCGCGCGAGATCTTGCGTAGGGAGCGGTAGAACAGCTGCCCGTTCTTGAGGTAGGCCTCGAGGTTCTGCTCGGCGCGGTCCCTCGCAGGCTGCACCAGGCGCAGCCACGCGACGCCGTCCGCCGCGCCCTGGGACGCGGTGCTGTCCACCTGTGGCAACCCGCGTGGGGTGGAGGAGAGAGGGGACGGGCGGGTGGGTGGGTGAGTGGGTGGGTGGGTGGTTGGTTGCGTTTCCTGTTGCAGATGTTGACCGCGGCATCTATAACCGCTTGCCCGCTGCTGGATGTAGTCTGTTGATTTTATCGAGGGGTGGGAAGACGGCAGCCTTCACGCTAGCCCCACTCTGTTCGGTGAGAATTCACGGACGAATGCCATCAACGCGGCGACCGAACATCGACCACCGATCTCCCGGTCTCCAGAGGAACAGCAACAACAACAAGCCACGCCGACGGGCGCACTTAAATCGAGGTCGAGATGTTTATCATCACGGCCGAAGAAGCTGATGCCACCACACCTCGCCAATGTTTGATGTTACCCGCTGCCAGGTCCCGCGGTCGCTGCGCGGTTGATTCGGAGCGACCTCCCGACATCTGCCCTCATGGTCTCCCACCGTCTGCACTTAGGTCTTCGCTTTGCTTGCCAGACTCGTGGAGACCGCCCCAATGACCGTGGCGGGGCTAAGTTCCTCTCCCATCCTACACGTGTGTCCTAATCCAACGCGACCTGTGCTTCCCGAATCATATCTACACCACGCGTACCTGTACCAAGTGCGCTTCTGGACTTCTGCGTTGCACCCGTGCTCGAATTGCAGTAACTGATGTTCTTACTGATGAATCAGAAGTGCAACTCTCTGACCCACCCGACTAAAAATAAAAATAAACATTTATTTCCAGGTAAAGCCCACTGAACTATATAGCTCTATTTCAAAAGCGACCTGGCCACAAATGATAGCTCAACGAAGTGGCTTATCACGTGGAATTGTATAGCAGCCAAATACTCTAAACACGTGATGTTGATTATAAATGTGGAGGCACAAAAACCGGAGGACCCGGAGAAAAATCGACGCGACCACCACGGGGAGAACATTCAAACACCGAATACAGCCAGGGTAGGCATCAAACCCACGCCCTCCTGTATACCAGGCGAGGTAGTTAACATCTCGGCACGCGGACTCCCTCTGCTAACGAGCATTGAGCGACTGGAGGCGGGAACGGTGCCTCGCGGCCGTGATCAGTTTAGCAATTTTCAAATCCGATTAGGCTGCGGATGTGTTTGCCAGGAAGGAGAGCGAGTAGGTTCGTGAGACCCGTTTGGTGTAGCAGAGCTTTGAGTGTCTTCGGATGTGTTTGCCAGGAAGGAGAGCAAGTAGGTTCGTGAGCCCGTTTGGTGTAGCAGAGCTTTGAGTGTCTTCCCCCAAGTGAGCGTGAGTGGGCTCGTTCCGGGTTCCCTCCGTGTTTGTCCCACCCGAAGGGAAATGCAATTTTTTTCACGGCAGGACACTCCTGGATACCGCACCTGGATATAAATAAAACATAAATTCCTATCAATGCTATTTATTAATTAAGATAATACATCACTCTCATAATGCACCTTTACTGATGATCATTATTATTATTATTGAAAGACATAAAGCTGCTACAAGAATATTGCGGTTGAGGATGTGAGATGTTAAATATTGACCTTGCAGTTCCATCTGCCGACAGCCGCATGATTTGTATTGCTCTTTCAACGAATATGAGTGTTAAACTAACTTACTCTAACCAGCATGTCATGGATGTTAATTAACAGCAGAACGTATGCGCGCGCTCGTGAGAATAACGGTTCGCTATAGCCGGAGAGGGAGCGGTAGTGCAGCGGTTAGCGCGAACCTGGCCACCAGGGTTCGATTCCCGCTCACGCCCAACACCAGTGTACGATTATCTGAACCGGTCCTGGGCCTCCCCTAGGTCGACCCAGTCTACAATGAGTACCTGGTGCGGTGTGTAAACATCGCCACTTGGGAAACAAAACCGGCCGGGCGCTGTGCTGACCACCCATCCTCTCGTGTGCCGTGCCGGCCTTCATAGGTGCAGCTCGCTAACAGCACTTGCCCCAACAGCCTGTTCAGGCTATACGGGGGACATTTGTCTTTGCTACAGCCGGCAATTCATCTACTACTGCGGAACTTTTATGACCCTAACCCTGACCCTAAACCATGACCCCTAAGCGCCAACGCGATCATCTGGACCCACAGTGTGTCGGTAAATCTCGCTGTTGTGCAGCCGAGTGCAGAGACGAGGGTCGGATGAAAACAAGGGGGCTGCGTGTCGCGTCGTCTCGAATCGCATCTTTCCCATTTGCCCAGAGACTCAGCGAGCGAGAGAGCAACCTCACGTCGCCACCGCGTACGACGTCGTCAACAGGATCCGTGTGCCCGTCTGTCCGGCCACTCGTATTCGTAGAAGTACGTTGAACTTCTGTTGCGACCGCACTAATCAAAGCTGCGGGGAAAGGACAGCAAACTAAAACAATAACGCAGTTCTAAAGAAATTAGTTTTCAATCGAGAGTTAAAAGTGCGTAGCTCCCAGTGGCTTCCTAATGTCGAAAGGAAGAGCGTTCCAGACGGCCGCAGAAGCGCATCTTCAAAGCGCCGCGCGATGCGGCCACCACCGCCTTTGTTCAATGGAAAGCCAAAAGCTGCCACCGCCGCTGCTGCGAGGATGAGCGGAGAGTCGTGTTCGGATGATACGCTGGGCACGTGCCAATACCTCCTTTCACACGTGGAGAATGACAAGAGTCCACCACATTGTGAACGTGGTGAAGTGCGATCCGCGCTTCATCGGGTTCGAACGCTGCGGACACGCGAGCTAACTCCTGGTGCCATTGAATGAGTTGCCCAAACTCAACATAAAGTACGGTTTTTTATTGCTGTAATTTGCCCCATGCACGCCGTAAGAAAGCAAGAGCAACGGAGTGGCCGAAACTGAAGAGTCCCAGTCATAATGTCCATGGCGAGAGTGAAATCATTTCTCAAGCGTTAAACTTGGAAACCCAATTGTTGGGGCGCGCTGACGATGTTCGCTGCATTTTAACTGGAGGGTCACGTCAACATCCCCACGTGGGATAGCGTGGACTTCGTTATTCGCATAACGGGGTGCCTGCCGAAATCACACACACACTCAAACACACACACACACAATCACACACAAACACACACAGGTCTTCAGTTGCTGAAGAAGCTCCCGGCAGCACGTGGAGCGAAACGTCAGACATGATGCCGAACCACACGCGGGCACAAACCCCGAAAGCACATCGGAGAGCCTACGATAAGCGATAGTTTTAAAACGTGCACGCGTTCAGATGTGTTGCTCATGAGCTGTTGGCCAATAGAACCGTAATAATGACTGCCACCACCACCATCATCACCATCATGGTTCCGACACTCAAGCAAAGGACCTCGCGAAATCAAATTCAAGCACATTCTCTCGATGGAAGAGGAGGCGGTATCCCATGAAATCGTTACAAGGACCGTGATGAATCAACGCAGCCCTCTGGGAGCGGGGGGGGGGTAAGAATCGACGTGGCAGGAGCGTCGCACGCTTAATTACGCCGATTGATTGATCCGGACGCGTGAGGTTGGGAGCGGTTATACACCTTGCCAAGTGTAATTTGTTAAAACATATATATATACATAGCAACATTCTGTCTTAGTGTGTACAACAGGTTGGGACGTTAACTTATTGCGCAAACGAAAGTTCTAAGGAAGTGTCGGGCTGTGACGTCAGTCATTAAATAACTTGTTGTTCGGCGTTATCCTCTGTCGATAGCTTAGACGCGCTCCGGGGATGACTCACAACCTATTCACGATTAATCCATTGCGCGGAGAATGCAGAAGAACACCCGTGTCTTCACCGTGCGCATTCCGTAACAACCCTTGACACCATTAAACAAATTCAATTTTAAGAAAGGTATAGCGTGCGTACAACACGTGACAAAACACATGTTGTAATCACGTGCGCACAACACGTGCGTACAACACGTGTTGTAAACACGTGCGTACAGCACGTGCGTACAACACGTGTTGTAAACACGTGCGTACAACACGTGCGCACAACACGTGCGTACAACACGTGCGTACAACACGGATTTGAGAGCGAGGTATTCATTAAAATGAAAGTCAACAAAATCCCTAATGCGAGGATCGTTTCAAAGCCTTTGCATTCTCGAGCAGCTCTTGAACCCCTTTGATATGAATACGTTGCAATGACGAGTATCTATGAGATAACGGGTATAGGCAACACGTGTCTGTAGTTATGCACCAAATTGAACAAGTAAAGGGAAAAGCCAGGCATGAGCACGTATAATGTAAATCTTTCCAGCATGCATTTGCCTTCAGAATTATTACATTATCAGTGCAAAAGTCGACGGAGTAGCTTTTATTAGAGCGAAATGCGCTTATATATATTTTTATGGTTTATGCCTCCGGGTTTACGCTCAGGTAGGATCGTAATAACAACACAACTTTACACTCGAGGTTCGCTTATTTTGGATCATGGGCAGAACAATTAGTTGTAACTCCGCCCGTCCGACGGCCAAAACCAACGCACCAACATGTTCAACCTCGACCATGAAGCGTTAAAGAAAAACACAATTCCAGAACTTTGTGACTACTCCACACGTAAGGCACCGGCCTACAAAGACAGAGATCCCCCACATAGCCCACGCGTGATGTTGGGGCAAGTGCTGTCAGCGAGCAGCACCTATGAAGGCCGGAACGGTGTACGAAGGGGATGGTGTAGCCAGACCCACGCACGACCGTTTTTGTCTCCCCAGTGCTGATGTTTTACACACTGCACCGGGTACTTATTTTGAGGCTGAGCCGACCTAGGCGGAGGCCCAGGACCGGTACAAGACAATCGTCACCGTCGTTGGCTGTGAGCGGGAATCGAACTCGGGTCGTCGGGGTCGTAGCGCAGCGCGCTGACCGCTCATCGTACGATTGCAAAGATCTCCCTCTGTATCATCTCGCTGGTTGTATGGCCAAGCGCTATTAGCGAGACCCTATGGAACACCTAAATAGGTACTAAACGTACTCACACCGCACCCACGCGCACGATGAGCAGCAGCATATAACGCACAATCCGCAGACGGCTCCGCCTTACCCTGAATATGTAGGGCGCGGTGCGCTTGTCGGCGGCCTTGAGCGCAATGAAGGCGATGGTGTCGATGAAAGAGGCGCTGGACAGGAGGCAGGGCCCCAGGATGGCGTGCTCGGGCACGTCGCACGTGGTGAACACGCTCGTGAAGATGTCCGTGAGGCGCTGCTGGACGGCGCGGACGTCGTCGTCCCACTGACCCTTCACCACCATGCCCGCCGCCTCCACGTCCATCTCAGACTGCGCGCGCGCGCGCGCGTGCCCAACGTGGCGAGGGCGAGTTCACGCGCGCACATTTGGTGGGATGGAAATGAGAAAACAGCAGTCTCGTTTTTATTTTGTATATGTATGTGGGGGCTGTTTTGTTTTTTTCCAAAGTGCTTTGTTTACACTGTCCTATACTTTGCACTCCGATCGTGGTTTTATTGTTGTTACTCTCTGGTTCTTGCTGTAAAGTCATGTAGGTAGAAAATAATAATTAATTATTGATTATTGACTTTTTTTCTACCTACGTGACTTTACCGAAAGAAGCAAAGAGTATGGATTCCTGCAGTTTACGAAAGCTTCAAATCACAGATGTATTGTTGTTGTTGTAACGTTCTGATTTGTCCCGACTGGACATCCGTGAAGACGAGCTTAATAGCTCATCGCATTCCTCCAAGTAGCCTGTAGGGCAGAGGTCGGCAACCTGCGGCTCTTTAAGGACTCCTGCGTGACGTTGTTGATGAAGGATCACCGTCTCTCCTATCCACCACGTGCATTCCCAGCTCTTGCAATATTTGCGGGAAGTTTTTTTGTTTATTAATAACATAGATACCGAATTCTCAAAAAAAAATCTCCCTTCTTGTTACTGCGATTGCCCATCCCTGCTGTTAGGGGGGAGAGTGCTGTTAGCGAGCACCTATTAAGGTCGGTGTGGGCCATGCACGCGCACGCACAGAGTCACGTGAACACCGCTTGGCAGCCGACGAATTCGCGGTCCGTCGTTGAGCCGGATTTCGTTACGGTGGTGCTTTTACCTCTCAGCATGTGAACACAACGGCAGTATATATATAGATAGATGTACGCTGGTGTATCTATATATGTAAAGACATGGATGGGTATCACCATTCATCAACACGCACTGACCGGCGAGGTGAAAGTATGGGCAAGCTACCCCATGCGACCTACACGGCTGGATTGAAAAACATTGTCAACTTATTATTATTCTTCTGCTTATTGGAATAAAGTGAGCCGGTGATTCTTGTTGTCCGCGAGTATTTGTTAAAATGACACATTCCATAGTCGTTACCCCTCCCCTTGCCTCCCGTCCCCGCGAGTTATAACCATGCCCATTGACACTGAGCCGGTTCCAAATTCACGTTAACGTCGCTGCCAAGCCCACGGTTTCAGTTTAATTTATTTTTAATGTATTAGGAATATCTCCTGTGAGCCATGCGGCTCTTGACTCGTGTGCAACCGCAACAAAACAAAAACACGAACAAGCGGTGGCAGGCGCGCAAGAGATTAAAGCCCTAATATTCACGAACGTCGCCGTGAACAGTTCCAAACACGTGCATTACGAACGCGTGGACACTTCCAGTCTCATATCAGCCGTGCATATATACACACACACACAAGCACACACGCACACACACATACGCGCGCACATACACACATACACGCGCGCACACGCACACATACGCGCAAATCACAAAAGCCAAAGCAAAGCATACGTTCTACACCGATGTGTTCCTCGATTTAAAGACACATTTGCAGTCCATTGAAAGAAAACAAATCCCTTAAATCAAGAACGTCACTTTTTTTTTTACTGAAATAGTTTAGTTATTAAGTCCACAAAGTGTTGAATCGTGTGTTATATATGAAGCATATCTTATTATTTTGGAAGACGCGTTTCGAGGTTCGGTTGCAGAGGAAAAAAGCGTCTTCATTTTCACAGCGGAACATAAAACCGTGTCAGCGTGTTATATACGAGGCATGACACGTCACTTAATCAGATCCTGCGAGACATCTCACTTAAGACATCTCTCCTGCGAGACATCTCACTTAAGTTCCGATAGATAGCGAGGATTTGAACCATTGGTGTCAACGCCGTTGAGGAATGGTGTTTATGTATTATTTCATTTTCATTTATATGCATTTTATTTGCATGCCCGGAAGAAAAACTTAAAATAATATTCTATAAAATATTTTATCGAGATATTATCTCTCTCTTTGTTTTTTTGTTGTTTTTACACAGGCCAAAAACAACGCGTTCTTAATAGAATGACGGCGTGTGTGAGTTTACGCGAGTTTTCTTCAGCTACCAACTGTTACCAATACGCACGTGTTTGTTTTTTAATCGTTTACGATTGGGAGACGTCTGACGTACCCATGGCAAGAGTGTTTGAGTCTCAAAGAGGAGACGATTGAATCCCCGCAGGAATGTTTCTGTGGCGCAGCGGCGAGCGCGCGGCACTCTCGAACTTGCGACTCGTGTTCGATCCCTGGCTCCGGCTAACATCAGTGACGAGTGACGATGTTAACCGGCACTTGACCACCACCCACATCCGCGTCCATCTTCAACAAACCTGCACTCACTAGTGTGATCAAATATGTTTTTTTTTAAACCTCCATTGAGCGACACGGCATGGAGAGGCCTACATCCACCAGTGGATCGACAAAGGGCTGAAGTTTTTTTTTTACATTTAATCTCTATCTGTACCGACCGAAAGGCGCAATTTTGTGCTCATTAATTCACGGAAGTTATATGATGACGCTTCTGCGTTGGCAGTGGTGCACAGACACAATTACAACACTGCCTTGCAAGAATATATATACACCATCGGCGACGTTTCGGGCAATATCCCTTCTTCGTAGCAAAATTATGTGCCACGATGTGCAATGAAGAAGGACCATCGCCCCACCCCCCCAAAAAAAACGTCGCCGATTATATATATTATTTCCCTTTTCGAAGCAGTGTCGTTGACGAGCGTTCGTGGTTTTATCTTCGATCAATTCGCTCACAATGTGGGATCCGCACGCGGAGAACTCTGAGTATGCGACTTGAGGTGTGGCTCTCTACACAGATTGCCCCTGATGCGCTGGGAGAGCAACACGCTCTCCGTCGAATATCTCTTACCGTTATATTTTTTACTTTCTTTTTTTATATATACAGAAATTGCAACAATATTTTCCGCACCCCCCACCTCCCCCCCCCCCCCCCCCGCCATGACCCACCGGTTCGTAATAAAATATCCCCGCGATGTAAACACGCGGCGTGTGATTTAGCGGTGACTCGCGTCGCAGGAGCTCTCGGCCAGCCCACGTTCAAAATTGTTGTTTTGGTGGTTATGGTTGTTGTTGTTATTGCTGCTGCTGTTGTTTTTGCGATGATCATTAGTTCGATCATCACGACTTCGCTTCGCTCATTGCAACTCGTCGCTTGACTGCGTCGGAATTCGCGACTCGCTGGGTATTTAACAGAGTGCAGCGCGCTTACGTGTTGCTCGATCACTTACGTGACACGCGGACGTAATTCGCAAGGGTATATATATATACGTACACCGCGAAAAAGAGCTGCTCGATACAAAAAATACAATCCTACCATTTGCACGTGCTGTATGTGCAGGGTAACAATGCATTGTGTGCGCTGGAGTGCTGGCACAGCGTTTAACGCGCTACGCAATGACACCCCGTGGATCTACGTTAGATTCCCGGCCTGGGCCAACGTGACCAGCGAGCGACATCTGAACCGCCTCCACGTCCTTCTGTCCCCCTCCCCCACCTCCCGCTCCTTCACCAACCCCCACTGACCAGCGTGCTGAAGTATGTGCATTGTCATAGCAATGCATCGTGGCGTGAGTTCTGTTGTACCGTTCGCACGACACTGCGACCTGTGGTGTTGCAGGAGGGATGTGGCACAGATAGACGTGTGTGTGTGTGTGTAAGGGTGCAGGAGGGACGTGTGTGTGTGTGTAAGTGTGCAGGATGGAAGTGTGTGTGTGTGTGTAAGTGTGCAGGATGGACGTGTGTGTAAGTGTGCAGGAGGGACGTGTGTGTGTGTGTAGGAGTGCAGGAGGGACGTGTGTGTGTAAGAGTGCAGGAGGGACGTGTGTGTGTGTGTAAGAGTGCAGGAGGGACGTGTGTGTGTGTAAGTGTGCAGGATGGACGTGTGTGTGTGTGTGTGTAAGTGTGCAGGATGGACGTGTGTGTGTGTGTAAGGGTGCAGGATGGACGTGTGTGTGTGTAAGTGTGCAGGATGGACGTGTATGTGTGTATGTGTGTGTGTGTAAGAGTGCAGGAGGGACGTGTGTGTGTGTGTGTAAGTGTGCAGGATGGACGTGTGTGTGTGTAAGAGTGCAGGAGGGACGTGTGTGTGTAAGGGTGCAGGAGGGACGTGTGTGTATGTGTGTGTGTAAGTGTGCAGGATGGACGTGTGTGTATGTGTGTGTGTAAGAGTGCAGGAGGGACGTGTGTGTGTGTGTAAGTGTGCAGGATGGACGTGTGTGTGTGTGTAGGAGTGCAGGAGGGACGTGTGTGTGTGTGTGTGTAAGAGTGCAGGATGGACGTGTGTGTGTAAGGGTGCAGGAGGGACGTGTGTGTGTGTGTGTGTAGGAGTGCAGGATGGACGTGTGTGTGTGTGTGTAAGTGTGCAGGAGGGACGTGTGTGTGTGTGTGTGTAAGAGTGAAGGATGGACGTGTGTGTGTGTGTGTGTAAGAGTGCAGGAGGGACGTGTGTGTGTGTGTGTAAGTGTGCAGGAGGGACGTGTGTGTGTGTGTAAGAGTGCAGGAGGGACGTGTGTGTGTAAGGGTGCAGGAGGGACGTGTGTGTGTGTGTGTGTAAGTGTGCAGGAGGGACGTGTGTGTATGTGTGTGTGTAAGTGTGCAGGATGGACGTGTGTGTATGTGTGTGTGTAAGAGTGCAGGAGGGACGTGTGTGTGTGTGTAAGTGTGCAGGATGGACGTGTGTGTGTGTAGGAGTGCAGGAGGGACGTGTGTGTGTGTGTGTAAGAGTGCAGGATGGACGTGTGTGTGTGTGTAAGTGTGCAGGAGGGACGTGTGTGTGTGTGTAAGTGTGCAGGATGGACGTGTGTGTGTGTGCGTAAGTGTGCAGGAGGGACGTGTGTGTGTGTGTGTAAGTGTGCAGGATGGACGTGTGTGGATGTGTGTGTGTGTAAGAGTGCAGGAGGGACGTGTGTGTGTGTGTAAGAGTGCAGGAGGGACGTGTGTGTATGTGTGTGTGTGTGTAAGTGTGCAGGATGGACGTGTGTGTGTGTAGGAGTGCAGGAGGGACGTGTGTGTGTGTAAGGGTGCAGGATGGAAGTGTGTGTGTGTGTGTGTAAGAGTGCAGGAGGGACGTGTGTGTGTAAGTGTGCAGGAGGGACGTGTGTGTGTGTGTAAGTGTGCAGGATGGACGTGTGTGTATGTGTGTGTAAGGGTGCAGGAGTTATGTGGCACCTCAAGATGCCGCTCGATCGGATGACCCAACTTGATCCATCCGCCTTGACTCATTCCAATTAACTCAGCTCTATTTAAGAAGAGCCACATTTATCCCGAATTAACCGTCCTTAAAAAGTACTGTCATGGGTACAAGAAGTCAGTAAAGACGGCGAATTAAGTACATAAGGCAGTTTGAACTCGTGTATGCAACTGGGGAAGAGTATACGATGCAAAGTTATTGAGTAAATATCATGGACAGAGCTGAATACAAGAAGGATCACATCGCCGACGTCTTTAATCAAGGACATTGTGAAAGAACGTTCGAGAGAACATAACACCCGATTGACCTAAGTTCTTCACGTACATCAGAACGGTGAATTAAAACGATCTGCAATTCGTGAAGCGTTTAACATTTAAAAAAAGCACACACACTAAACACTAACACTCTCGATGAACACAATGTTTTAGCGTCTGCAGCCGAGCATATAAACGAGCGTGGAAAGAGATTAAATAGAACACTAGATCGCGTCTCAAAACAAAATCCAACAATGCGTATGGAGTGATCCGCGTATTGACGAACACAGCCCCCTTTTTTAATATAATAACGCGATGCGCTCAACAAAATTGCACTGTGATAAAGACACGGACCCCTCCCGTATAGCCTCAACACACTGTTGGGGGAAGTGCTGTTTGCGAGCACCTATGAAGACCGGGGTGGGATGGCCAGCACCACGCCCGGCCGCTGTTGTCTCCCGAGGGGCGGTGTTCACACACCACACCAGCTAACTCAATTGAGGCTGAGTTGACCCTAGGGGAGGCCCAGGAACCGGTTTCAGATAATCGTCACCGGTGTTGGCCGTGAGCGGGAATCCAACTTGGGAAACCGCCGGGTTCGTAGCGGCAGCGTAGCGCTAACCGCTGCGCCACCGCTCCCCGGCGTAACGCATCCCACCCACACCCAAACAGTCGCTCGCACGTGCGGCCCGTACGAGCCTCTGTGCCTCTGTGTGTATGTGTGTGTCCGTCTGTTCAGCCGCAGTTTCTCCGTTACACACAGAAGCGTATGCCGTCCGCCGCCACCGCATCTCATTTGCATATTTACGCATTTCCCACCGAGACTGTAATTAAAAACGGCGCCTGCGTTTAATTAGTTTTAATCCGATAGTCGTTACGCAAATGATGCCGGGGAGCTAAAACTCGGAGCTCCGTCCTCGGCCTTACACAGCAGAGGTAGGAGTGTGATGGTAGGAGTGTGATGGTCGGAGTGTGGCGGTAGGAGTGTGATGGTAGGAGTGTGATGGTAGGAGTGTGACGGTAGGAGTGTGATGGTAAGAGTGTGATGGTAGGAGTGTGATGGTAGGAGTGTGACGGTAGGAGTGTGACGGTAGGAGTGTGGCGGTAGGAGTGTGATGGTAGGAGTGTGACGGTAGGAGTGTAATGGCAGGAGTGTGATGGTAGGAGTGTGATGGTAGGAGTGTGATGGTAGGAGTATGATGGTAGAAGTGTGATGGTAGGAGTGTGATGGTAGGAGTGTGATGGTAGCAGTGTGACGGTAGTAGTGTGACGGTAGGAGTGTGATGGTAGGAGTGTGATGGTAGGAGTGTGATGGTAGGAGTGTGATAGTAGGAGTGTGATGGTAGGAGTGTGATGGTAGGAGTGTGATGGTAGGAGTGTGACGGTAGGAGTGTGATGGTAGGAGTGTGATGGTAGGAGTGCAATGGGGAGCGGTGGTGCAGTGGTTAGCGCTACGCTACGAAGCCGGCGGCCCGAGTTCGATTCGCGCTCACGGTCACCAACACCATCAGTGACGATTATCTGAACCGGTCCTGGGCGTCCCCTAGGACGACTCGGCATCAAATGAGCACCTGGTGCGGTGTATAGTACACATCGCCACTGGTGAGACAAAGGCGGCCGGGCGTGGTGCTGGCCACCCACCGCCTCGTATGCCGTGCCGTCCTTCGCAGGTGCTGGCTAACAGCACTTTCCTCAACAGTCTGTTACAGGCTACACGGGGGATCTCTATATCTGTCTTAGTGTGAGAGAGATCGGCAGAAATAACTGATTCTGCTAATACTGCTACAATTGTCTGCGTGAAATGAATCGACTCATGCTCATGAACGCATTCGCTCGCTTTCGTGATCGCGCTACAATTTTTGGCTGCTAAAAGAGCGCACATTCACTGATCCCGCACATCTATATTGTAAATACATACATACACACACACGTGATATGTACATACCTGATGAAGTATGGTCGTATGTACGTTTAGATTCATTTGGAAAATATGCGCGGGCCGTTGACCTCCTTTAACGCATTAAAAACCACCACTGCTTTGTTTTTTTTTAAGTGATAGCTCAATATAAAATAAATCACTTTCTACATATATGGATACAAATATAAAACGCGTGCAAATAAGTCCGCGGCTTCTGTCTTGAATCACTCGCTTTTGCGCGGCCGCAGCACGTGCCTGGATGTTTTTTTTTGTGTTCACACACACACACACAAAAACACATCCCATGAGCCAGTGTGAGGAGCGCAGATGGGTCTCAAAACGGCGCATACATTAAAAGTGCGTATAAATAACCCAGCAAAGCCGCAGCATTCATTAAACAACGCAACCCGCCCGAAGTGTACGAGTCGTCCTCATACATGACGTGCGCCACACACACAGCATTGTAGTCGATCCTGTAAATGAACTGCTACTAATCGGCACGACTTCAAAACTGCCGCTTGTAAATTAACGCGTAAGCGTCTTCACGGGGCTGTACAATTTGCGCGTTTGCGGACACATTTGCAGACACTTCTACAAAGTGATACTGCTGCCGCTGCTGCTACTGCTTATCTTACTGCTGCTATTGTTGATGTTGTTGCTGCTGCTGCTATTGCTGTGATGCTGACGGGGAGGTGGTGGCATGTGTCCTACGATCACGGCTGTTGTGTGGCACATTGCTCATAAACACTCTCGTCCCGACAGCATGCGGCGACAGATGCCCGCTCTCCCCTGCTCCTCGCATATTGTCCGCTGCGCATCTGTCGCGCTCAAGTAAAAGTAATCGGAGCGAAGAATGACCATAATTATATATTTTTTTAAAGAACAGCGGTTGGGTGATGGTCAAGGCGTCGGAGGATTGGTGGAAGGGGGGGGGGCGTGTGGAGTCGGGAAGGGACACACACACACACACGAACGTGTTCAAAGCCAATTAGTGAAAGTGCCAGAAACGCATTGCTAATGCTGCGCCGACAGCCGCGCGCGTTCGTCCGTTTCGCGAAAAGAGGGGGGGGGGGAGAGGCTGACGCCCGGACGAGTCCCAGACGTTCGAGTCGATGTTGACGGAGCAGCTCCCAAGTCATCGTCGAGCAATTGCGGAGCGCGTGTAAGCGCGCGCGAGTCCGATCTCGATTTCGCACCGCGGCCAACGTCAGTCCGCCAAGCGGGCGCATCAGTGGCGTGGATTGGTAGCGGTGAGCGCGAAGATTCGTGCGGAGTCCTGAACGCATCTCTTGAATGGATCGCATCTCTTATTAAGAGCGACGCACGGTCTATGTCTTGTCTGTTAAACTAGATACCGCTGTCCCGCCAAGTCGGACTACAATTGAATGGAGGGGGGTGGTAGGGTTTGGGGGGGGGGAGATATCATTTTCGAAAAAACGCAGCCACTTTTCCGCTTTGAATAATAACGGCCGAGTGTCGATGAAGACTCGCGTGCTGCAGTTCACAGACTCGCGTGTTACACGAGAAAAGTGTTCCGCTTTGTAAAAAAAAAAAAACCCCGAGTTGCCCACGCGCACGCGCGCACGAGAAAGAAAGGAGAGAGAGAGCACGGATGTGGATCGTTTCAACTCTCAGCCGCTGACCATCGCGGGAGGGGGGAGGGGAAGCACGGGGCGGTGGTACCGCACAACCACGAGACGACGCAGACCACGCGAGCGCCACTCAAACAAAGTGCGGCCAAACGCGTGGCAGTGTCGTGCGATCTGCCGTCGGTGAGCAACGCAGCAGCACCTCGGCACGGCAGCGGAGCCGCTGTTGTGGTCTTACTCAAAGATCGTAACGGGGGGGGGGGGGGCACTGGGGCGAGAAGGGGTGGGGGGAGGAATGAACACAAAATCCCAGCGTATGTCTCACCTTTGGACATGAGGCGCGCCGAGTGCGTGAAGGAGGTCGAGGAGGAAGGGAAGGAGGAGGCGCAGGCGACGATGTCAGAGCGTAAAAGCCAGGGAGAAGGACGGACGAGGGAGAGGACGGGACAGGTGTAATCACATCGGCAGGCGGAGAGCCACGACTAATAAAGGTGCGCGAGTGGCGGCGGTCGTGGAGATTCTCTCTGCGTGTATCCCTGAGCTCGCTACCCCGCGTGCGCACGGGGGGTACCACTCTCCGCCTCCTCCACCCCCCCCAAGACCACCTCCCCCCCCCCCCCCCCTCCGAAGGCCACCTCCAGCCCAATCAGCTTTCGCCTACCACGTAGGCACGACCGAGCGCGCGTTGTGACGGCGCGTGCCATTGGCTGGGGCGTTATCTATTTATTTCACTGATTCTCCCCCCCCCCCACTGCATCCTGAATGCATGAGAAATGAGGACGCGATCGCTGCGAACCCGCTCTCTGATCACGACGGCTCGTCAATGCGTCAATGCGTTGAGTTGTAAAGTCACGCGAGTCGCGTCTCAATGCACAGCTGCCTCGCTTGTAAGGGAGTGTGGCGTTGGATTGCCTTTGCACTCCCGATGCCTGCTGGCTTTAAACTTTAAAGCTACGGCTTAGTTAGATAAGTGCTAGCGACATTAACCGACGAGTTTGTCCAAATGCGACGTGAACTTTGTTCCACCCTGCGCTTTGGCTTGGTAACGTGAGCCAATTTCTCTCACGTCCCGTACGCCCGTGCGAGCGAGCGGCACGTTTTTTTCTTCTTCTACTATTTAAAGGACGCCGATGAATCTCCACTGTAATTTACTGCTTTATGCCAAAGGGAAAAAAAAAACACAAAAAATAACAACCCGACCGAAAATCCAACTCACACGACCCGCATTACGAAGCGCAGCCAACTGAATACGACTGCGCAAAAACGCGTCAAGATCGTACGCAAACGTTCGTGCGTGTGTGTAAAAAAAAAAAAATAACAATTTTAATGATTGCTCGTCAGCGCAAAATTATCACAAGGTAGGTGATTTGTGACGCCGAAGATGATAGGTTGCGCGATATCGCAGAGGTTTTTTTTTTTTAATGCGTAAATTGCGCACGCCGACTCGCACGGAAGATGCGAACCCTCGCCGCTAGAAAACAAAAAAAACAGAGATCATCGGCAGCCCCACTCTGTGAAGATGCCACAAGTGAGAAAGCGCATCTCAATGGCAGCGCCGGGCCACGCAGTGCAAACTCTAAGGTTGCTTTCGGTGCGGCCCAACTCTCTAATGATCTCGCGCATGTAAAATTACGTTTGAATTATTTTTATTATTACGATTATTATTATTATTGTCGAATTAACTCTATTGGATAATGTAGTCGACCAGCGCAAAAGCGCGCAGAGTTCACGCGTGAGGCTTTGCAACGACGAAGCGGGAGTGTTTTTTCACTTGCGTCTCGAGACATTCAATTGTGTTTCTTAAAAAATAATCTCAGTTAATGCATATATTGTTTTAAGTTTTAACCAAGGAACAATTCTTTTCTTTGAAAGCAAAAACAATCCGACTCGTCAACCCGAATAATCATAGCGTTCGGGCGCACCGTCCCTTGTTAGCGAAGCGAAAATACACTCCATGTCTTCTGCATGCAAAACAAAACGCGCGCATTCGGTCGAAGGTGCCAATTTCCGCCGAGACAAACCGCTTCGCTTGGTCCAATTCAATCGTTCAGCGCGAAAAACGCCGAGATGCAAGTAACTTTGCGCGGTTTTTTTTGTGGTGAAACCCGAGAAACCGCATTCCGCTCGCGAGCCCACCGCCTCGTCTGATTCTAATAAGTTGCACGCATGCCGTTATCAAGACAATCTGTTTTATTGTCCCTGTGTGTGTGTATATGTTACAAAGCGTTATCGTGTTTGTATTAAAACCTTAAACGCTTCTTCGACGTCCCCAAAATGAACCGAACGTCAGATTCCCGTGTGCCGTGTCGCGCTTCGGCAACAGTGCCCTGGCGCGTATAGAAAAAGCATTGGCGCACGCGTGCGTAAATGTGCCCGCGCACGCGTGTACGCTGCAGTGCCGTGGCACGCCGCGACGTACCTCTCGTGAGCACGGGTGCTGAATCCTCACGTTGTGCAAGCTCCACGCCAAACGCGTTGGCCAGTCAACTGTGACCGCCGAAACGGCGCACGCTGCGTTAAGAACGGGCGAAGTGACCCGCGGAGTGCGCATGCATCGAGCCCCGCACGCAAATCCGTCGCGTGCCATTTTAATTATGTATAAATACAGCACTTAACAAACTTGTGTATGTAATATTAACAGTGGGGCCACGTATTGAAGGGCTTTGTAATTGGTCACTTATATCTTTGGTTGTTGTTGTTGTTTTTTCAAATCTCCTCCGAGAAAAGAAAAGTTGTTTCGTGAAAACTCACGTCCGTTTTGAAGTAAGACCGCTCACCAATTTAAGGTCATTTTGGGGTCAACTTTAACCGCCACAATTCCCAGAAACAGGGCAATGATGTTACTTTCTTGTTTGTTTTTTTATCGCCCCACGTCCCTCGTCTGATTATTTTGATCTCACTGATCAAACGACGAAATGTGCAGTGGGCACCTACGGGATCTATCTGCCCATGGATTGTGACGATGACATTTGATCTCTGCACGAAGAACATTACGCGAGCGCCTTACTCTGGTGCATGCAGTGAGTGACATCGTCGCAAGTGTTACGGCTCAGTGGTGATAACAGTTTTAACACGCGTACTCATTCAATCGGTAAACAACTTAACCAGCCCCCCCCCCACCCCTAAATAAAAATCCGAAGGTCGTACGACTCGACGCGCGCGATCGAAAAGCCACGGACACACTCACTGATCATTTATTTTTGTGTGGATACCAATCGTCGTGACGTACAACGCGGCGTGGGGAGGCCTTCATCCAGCAGTGGATTGACGAAGGTCCGTGAATTATTCATCACTAACTTTATTTTTTAATCGCTTTTTGAGGAGCAGGAAGACAATCGCACGCGCTTGTGATACTCGTAAAAAAATATACACAAACACGAAATTTACATTTTAGCTACAAACGTTGCGTGCTAGTTGATTGCATTTGGCGTCTATTTCAACCTTCAACAAAATGTACCCACAGTTTATTCAACTTTACACGTAGCTACTCATGACTGAGTATTGCTTTTTTATGTGATTCAACTCATAATGAACACAGTGAACTAAGTTATTTAATCAAGAACGCATCAATGCTCTTTTTCAGGAGGGATGTTCAGCAAATTGATTTTTATTTTTAAATCGCGTGTTTTGCGATATGCGGGAGGAAACAGGAGAATCCAGATACAACTCAACGGACATTCAAAGGGGAATAACAATGACACCTCCACACGGACGGTATCACAAACCCACTTGCTCTACTGCCCTATGTTGACCACAGTTAATAATTAAATTCGCAGACGCTTCCGTTGCCTCAAACAACAAACGCGTCCTCACTCACTCACGCACGCACACACGCCACCAGCCTCCTCTTCCTCGACCCAACCCAGACGATCGAGGCGAGCTACAGCGCTCTCGCTTGGACAGCCTTTTACGCACGCGTTTGCTCGACGGCAGAAGCCGCGATAATCGAGGCACCTTGCGCTCTCTACCCCACCCGCCCCCTGCCCACCCCTCCCTCTGCCCCCCACGATTCTCACCACCCCCTTCACTCCGCAAACCATCTTAGCTGGCTGCCACCTTCGTTGCGTGGACGCAGGGCCGAGCGCCAGACGCGACCGTGCCGAGCACCGTTTATTATTCATGAGTCGGGCGCGGCACCGCGCGGGCGGCCGGGCCCCTCCCGAGCCCCCTCGCCATCTGGCCCGGTCCGGACCGAGAGCGGCGCGGGATCCCCCCGGCCCTGGCCAGATGAGCTCGCCAGCCGGCCCGCTCTGTACACCACGCAGCCTCCGAGCCCTTCGGGCGAGTGAGTGGGCGAGCGGGCAAGCAGGCGGGCAGGCTGGCAGGCAGGCAGGCAGTAACACGGGTCTCGGGCAAAAGCTGCTTGATGTGCCCCCGTAGCGCTGTTTGTTGATGGAGAGGAGACCCAGGACGTTGCGCTGTCTGTTCCATTGTAGGGGGTGCGGAGTCGTAGGAGGAGCGGGAGGAGGAGAGGCAGTTGACGGGGTGGTTTGGAACGCGAGGAGATGGCAGTGGGGACGATGGTGACTCGCTTCGCTTTGGATGTGGTGGTGGTTGGTGATGGTGGTGATGGTGGTGGTGATGGTTGGTGGTGGTTAGACATCCGTTCGCACAAAATGAGTCAACAGGAGGATTTGCAAACCGCGGAAATGTTAGGACGGCACTCAAGTGCGGCTTGCCCAAGATCTGTTTTGCTATAGTGTGCCATAGAGTCTATAGTGTGCCATTGAGTCTATAGTGTGTCTATAGTGTGCCATAGAGTCTATAGTGTGCCATAGAGTCTATAGTGTGCCATAGAGTCTATAGTGTGCCATAGAGTCTATAGTGTGCCATAGAGTCTACAGTGTGCCATAGAGTCTATAGTGTGCCATAGAGTCTATAGTGTGCCATAGAGTCTATAGTGTGCCATAGAGTCTATAGTGTGCCATAGAGTCTATAGTGTGCCATAGAGTCTAAAGTGTGCCATAGAGTCTACAGTGTGCCATAGAGTCTATAGTGTGCCATAGAGTCTATAGTGTGCGATAGAGTCTACAGTGTGCCATAGAGTCTATAGTGTGCCATAGAGTCTATAGTGTGCCATAGAGTCTATAGTGTGCCATAGAGTCTATAGTGTGCCATAGAGTCTATAGTGTGCCATAGCGTCTATAGTGTGCCATAGAGTCTATAGTGTGCCATAGCGTCTATAGTGTGCCAGAGAGTCTCTAGTGTGCCATAGAGTCTATAGTGTGCCATAGTCTATAGTGTGCCATAGAGTTTATAGTGTGCCGTAGAGTCTATAGTGTGCCATAGAGTCTATAGTGTGCCATAGAGTATATAGTGTGCCATAGAGTCTATAGTGTGCCATAGAGTCTATAGTGTGCCATAGAGTATATAGTGTGCCATAGAGTCTATAGTGTGCCATAGAGTCTATAGTGTGCCATAGAGTATATAGTGTGCCATAGAGTCTATAGTGTGCCATAGAGTCTATAGTGTGTCTATAGTGTGCCATAGAGTCTATAGTGTGCCATAGAGTCTATAGTGTGCCATAGAGTCTATAGTGTGCCATAGAGTCTATAGTGTGCCATAGAGTCTATAGTGTGCCATAGAGTCTACAG